ATGGAGAGGCTAAAAAAGTGAGCTGATACTAAGAACCACCAAACCTTCCACTTCTAAACAACCACATGCGAAACTTTGCAATGAAGCAATGGCAAGCTAGAGAGTTATTTCCAATTAAAAGTTGCCACATAGACTACTATATTGGAGGAAAAAATGGCAAACTCGCCAACAACATTGCCATAATGTGTGTGACTTCATAACAATCAACCGTTACAAGCAAATTGACTTGGCATGTCAGTAACAGCCTCACATTTATGATGAGCCAAAGTGTGACCTAGAGTTATGACAGTTATTGTGGGCAAGAAATGCATACTAAGCCATTACATTCATGCCCAATGATTCCTCTCATCAATACTACTTATTGCTTTTCGGTAAATTACTTATTCATGTAAATGCATTTATCCGGGTAAATGTTTCCTAGGCAAAAGACTTATTCAGATAAGTGCATTTATCCATGTTCTTGTACTTTCTATGTAAATAAGGCAATGACCATTTTAGCCATAAAAATATAATATTAAAAGGGGCATTTTTGTCCCATTCAAGTGTTGGCAACTTCCCCCCCCCCCCCGATGGGAAAGTTATTTATGTATCACTTATCAGGTAAATGGTATCCGGGAAAATAAACTTTCCGTGATCAATCATATAAATCTGAAAAAAGAACATGAGTTTCTTGGTAAATGGGAATCAAAATACCATTAACCAATTTTCCTCCATCTCAAAATAAAAATAAAAAACCAAGAATTATTTTTATTGATTATGAAAATGAAATACTTAATCTAAAACTAACAAAACATGAAATCATTTTCCTATTTGGTGGAGATTAATAGTTAATAAAAATGAAATCATTTTTATTTACATTTGGGTCAAATATGTTGACCTTTAATGTCATAATTAAATAATAAAAGTTAATAAAAGATAAAAACACAAAAAAAAATACATAAACTTTGTAAAAAAATGGGCATATGTATAATATTGTATATTTATCATATTAAACAAAAAATAAGTGTGACATATCAGAATTATTTTTACACACATAGAAATATAAAAAAAAATTATAGAAAAAAATTGAACACATCTATAATTTAGATTTTGCAACCTACATTCGATTAATAATCTAATTGAATTCAAATTTGACTTTGTTCGATCTTGGATTAAAATCTGAATTCAATTATATTGTAATATTTAGTGGGTTTAATATATAAAATTTATATAATTATATTTGAAATAATAAAATATATTTTCATAAATTATATTATATATGAATTTATATATATATATAATAAATACAACATGCTATGTTTATATTAATTTATTATATATAAAAGTTGAAAAGTAATTAACTTTTTATTTTTTATTTTGTAAATGAAAAACCAAATCCAAAATGGACTTTGGATTAGATTCAAATGCAAGTTTTCAATAATCGGATTAGATTTATATTTCGTTCAATCCAATCTGAACCTAATTCATCAAGTAAACCCGACCCATTAACAATCATATGGTCCATTGACACCGAGACTGAAGCCCGATAATTCAAGCTTTATCGGAGCTCGAATTGGACTTGGGCCCGACCAAGCTTCTCCCCATCGATTCGGTTGGACTGTCCATGTCAACATGTCTTTCATTGAGATAAGTTATTTATCTATTTTCTCCATTTTTTTATTTTTTTTATTTTCTTTTGTTTTAAAAATATAAAACAAGAATTATTGCTTATCTTGATTATATTAATAAAGTTGCACACTATTAGAGAGAGGCCTTTGGGTTTTCCAATGTCTCTTATTTTAATGCATGTTATTATTACATTTAAGAGAGAGAGAGAGAGAATAGTAATAATATAAATCAAGGTATTTAAAACCGAACCGAACAATGAACCAGTTAGAGGTCTGGTTCCCAGGTTGAACAATCCAACCGTTCGAATTGAACAAACGACCCTTTTTGACAAAAAAATTAAAAAAATAAAAATGGCCAAAATTGTTGGATGGTTCAAACAGTTTGACTACCTGAGTTAGCGGCTTGCTGACCAAATCAATGGTTTTTGGCAAAAATAATGGTTTTGGGGTAAAACAGAACCAATCACTTGATCAATTCCTGATTTTTCCAGTCCGGTGGTCCGGTTTTGAATATTAAAAATTAAAAATGAGTTTCAATTCCACTTAAAAATCCAACTTAATAAACACTAATAAAAATAAGAAATTTAAATATAAAAATATTAATTGATAGTTTTAATAATATTATTAGATAACTTATGAGTTGAGACCTTAATAAACACTAATAAAAATATTAATTAATTGTTTTAAAATACCAACAATTAATTAAAAATCCAAAAAGTTCTGAAAAACCTAAACATAATTAAAATACTAAAATAATTAAAAAAATATTGAAAATTAACAGTATTTTATATTAATAAGGGTATTTACTAAAAATAATTAAAAGTACAATTAATAGTATTTTATTATTAAAAATACCAAAAATTATTAAAAAGTAGCTAAGCCATAAATTATTGAAAATTAGCTGTATTTTTTATTAACTATGGTATTTATTGAGTTATTTGATTTATTTTTACTAAAAACAAATGCAAATTAAATTTGTATGACTAATATGCAAAAATAAATGATGAAAATACTGAAAATTATTGAAAAATACTCATATGCAAAAAAAAATACTGAATAATAATGAAAAAACACAAAAAAAAATAAAAATCCAAAAATTCTGAAAAACCTAAAGCTTAATTAAAATACTAAAAATAATTAAAAAATTAAATTAAATAATTTTATTGCAAAAAATACTGAACTTTTTGCATTTAATTAGTTTAAGCTATAAGTAGTAGAAAATTACATTAATTAGTTTTAGCCAAGAAATTAGCAATATTTCTGAAAATATGATAATTTCTATATTTTAAATAAATTTTGTAATTTAATAATTACAATATTTTAATAATTAATAATAAAAAGCAACAAATCGTTTATAACTTAACCTAACCCGGTTAGATCTATAAATTTGCAAGCTCAAACAACTATTTTCTTTTGAGTTAGGTCTAGCTGAGATATGCACCATGCCCATACATTATCAGGGATAATCAGATCCAAAGTCTAATTGGGTATCAAACTTTTAGAGTCCAATGATGGTTTTAGCGGACATGTTTAAGCTAAACAACTCCTAATAAGCTCAACTTGGAAGTTATATGCATATATGGTAAATATTATTATATAATATTTAAATAACAAATTTTATATTAATATATAGAAATGTTAGACTAGAATTAAATAAAATTTTTAATTTGTAAAAAATCATAGTTATATAATTAACAACGAGCCTCTTTATCAACAGAAAATGTGCAAGCCCGAGCCCGTCCCGACTATCGGGCCTAGATCTTGATACCGAAGCCCGATCTGTACACAAAATGTCTTATTTTCCATATACTTTTATAAACTAATATTATATTAATTTAGTAATTATTTAATAAATTAATAAACTAATTTATATTTCATAATAGTAAATTGATATTTATTAATAATTTAAGAAGCATATATATATATATATTTATTATATATAACATAAGTAATTTTTTATATATGTATTAGTATCGAGCAGACTTTATTTGAGAAAGCCCGAGCTCTAGCCCACGAGTCTAAAATTTTGTCCAAGCCTAAAAAATAACGGGTCAGGTTGGGTCGGGTCGTTGGACTACTTGGCCCATGAATAGGTCGAATTGTATATATAAACAATTGCATACATAAAAAAATCATATAAAATAAAAATTGAAACATCTTTTTCAATTTTTTTTTTAAATGGACCTCTCATATCTTGGCCCGGTCTACAGCCTAGCCTAGCCTAAGGCTCGGCCCAACAGGACCCAATTTATACCTCTACTTGAATCCGCCCAATATTGGGAACAGGGCAGAGAAATTCAAGGATTTCCCATCTTTGATGAGGAGTGGGGTGCCTTGCCCCTGAATCTGCCTAACATTGAGGAGTGGTTGCCTTGCCTTGAACTCGCTTGACACTGGGGATGGGGCGGGGATGTGGTAGAGTGTCTTGGCTATGGGGCAGGGATAGGGATGGGGTGCCCTACCATGAACCCACCTCGTTGTCATTCCTATATAGACCTGTTCATGGGCCGGGTGGCCCGATGGGTCGGCCCGGCCCGACCCGACCCCCGGACGGGCTTGAACAGGCTTTTTGGCCCGCGGGCTTAACCTCGGGCCAAAAAGCTCGGCCCGCATAAAATTCGAGCTGGGCTCGGGCTTTGCCAAAATAGCCCGGCCCAGCCCGACCTATAGTTAAACAAACCTAAGTAAAAACCCTATGTGTTGTCCATTTGAATAAATTTTTTGATTTGAGAAGGTTGTTGATTCACTTGTAGACCCATTGCTCATTTAAATAGGGGAAAAAAACATCTGAATTAAAATAGATAATGTCTATTTGAATAGGGAAAATTTTGAATTTCTTTTTTTAGGTCGGGCTTCGGACTCGGGCTCGGGCTTTGGGCTTTTTATCAGGGCCGGGCTCGGGCCTAACATTTTTTTGTCAATAAAGAGTCAAAGCTCGGCCCAAACCCTGCCCGACCCATGAACAGGTCTATTCCTATATAATTATTAATTATTAGTGAAATTAATAAAAATGCTAGGTTTTGTAATTATTTTTATTTATTTAAAGTTAATCAAGTTTCATTTTAAAATAATAAAATTTATTAAAATTACTATAAATTATTAATGAAACTAAATTTATTAAAAAATATTTATTTATATTAAATTAACAATAATTATTTTCTGTAAATCAACATTAAATGAAAGTACAATTATTAAAATTTTAGATATTAACAATAACTTTGAATATTTTTAATTAATTAATAATAAATTTTGATTATTAATTTAATATTAATTAATAATAAATAAAATTATTAAATCTTTCAGATTTTTCCGTGCATCGCACGAGTCCCCGCTAATAATACATACAGGTGACAGACCTCTTTCTTCATCGTTTCTCTTAGTCATAAGATGAGGTCGAGCTCATAGCAATTACTACTTATAGTCTCGTGCGCACTTCTTTGTCATCTTCTGGTTGTATGCGTAATGAATAAGAAGAGCATGCGGCAAGCAAACCCAACGAGAAAACAATCGTTACGGTGAAATCAAAGCAAATTCGCTGCTCGGACCTGCAAATATCGAAGTTGGCTGAAAAGGGTAGGAGAAATCCTCAAATGGCAAATCAATCTTCAGCTTCTCCTATCCTCTGCGCTTCCTTCAATCAAGATAACAGGTGGAAACTTCCTGAAATCAAAGCATCTCATCCTCCTCCACCAAATTCAACAACCAAAATAAGAGTAAACGATAGATATTTTTTTTTTGTTCTCCAATTAGGGTTTATAGGGTTCCTAATTTGAAATCATTCCGGTGGAGTGGATTTTATCATGGAAATCGATGAAGATTATGTATAGATTCTCTATTTTCCTTTTTCGGCGCGTTCAGTTATTTTTGGTGGCAATTGACTGTATACTCTCGGAATTGCAGTTGCTTTGCTATAGGAACGAGGGATGGATTCAAAATATTTGACTCGAGTACTGGGAAGCTCTGTTACGAAAAAGGTGATTGAACTGTGATGACAGTATATAGTTTTTAGAAGTTATCTCTTTAAAATTTAATTTATAGAGCTTGTCTTGAATTAACCGTAATTGACAATTTGAAATATCTAAAGGGAAAAAAGCATACTTTACAGTCTGAAAAGGTTAATTATGAGTTTTAGCTTATGATATGTAGAGGCTTGGAGAGATGAGAAATTATAAGTCAACTGAGTTGAATTTCAATTAGAGTATGGAGAAATATGGAAAATTTTCTTTTTGGATTGATTACAATGGATGGACATAAACAATTCAACAATGTAAAAATTAAACTTGATTCCAAATTTTCTTATTTTCTTTACCTTATCTTTGATTTCGTGAACATTCTTCTTATCATATAATGTTTATATGATATCATGAAATAGGGTTGAAAAAGGTCATATATTGATTTTTCACTGTAATGACCTACCAAAAGGAAAAAAGATGTATTGGAAGTTGCTCGACTGTCTGCAACTCCACCTAGGATCAAACAATATGTAATATTAGATCTTATATAACACACGCATAATGAATCCAATCATCCATACCTCTTGCTTGATGGCCTTCTGATGTAAGTAAAAGGACAATGTTAGGCAGAAGATATTATGTGATAAGTGATAACGAAAATGCCAAATATGATATTGAAATATTGAATATAATTGTAGGCTAAGAGAACAGGGACAAATATACAGCCTAGGAAGGCTAGGATCAGTTTAGCAATCTGTAGGATTTGGAAGCTAAAGGCTTAATAGGAGTGGGTAGTGGAACCTAATAGGTTTTCTTTTCTTTCTTTTTTTTTTTTCCAATGATTTGGCACCATCTAGTTGTTTGGAGCTTATAACAAATGAGAAAAGCAAAAGGGTCATCATAAGTCTGTATTTATTACCATTTCCCCCCCTGGACTAAGCTTTCCAGCCTTATTTATAGACTCATGGTAGTAGTTAGTGTAACCTAGTCAATGTCTTATTATGATTAATATTGTGTTTAGTTGTGAAAAGAATGGGAGCAAGTAAAAGATAGAAAAAAAGAGATAAATGCTTTCCTTATAAACAAACAAGAATAGAGGATTTACCTCTGTTTTCCTTATAAAGAATAGAATAGTCACCATATTTGAAACTTTGATGTCAAAATACATTGATGTTGTGTTTGGTTCCTGGAATTGAGATAAATCTTAATTTTTTATTGGTGCCAATTCCAAGTCCAAGTCTTATGAAGCCACATAGAGAACAGTGTTCTTCTTCTTTAACTCTTGGATGATTGCAAGTAATGAGTTTAAACATTGTCTTTAATACTGGCAAATAGTCTTGCTGCCTTGCTGGTTATTCTTAGATGTTCTCTTTCAGGCAGAATTCGATGGAATGGAGTCCTCAGTGGGTGCAATTATTGGAAAGCTTGAAAGTCTGTTGCATCTCATTTTTGACTTTTCCTTTGCTGAATAAGAGGGCACAATTGTATTTTTTCTGGTATTGCTTCATAGTCTTGGATGGCTCCATCTCTAACAGTTAACTAAGGGTGCCTCACCCCCCCTTTCATTTAATATAACCCCCATATATTTATAAAAAAACGTGGAATGTTTATATATTAAAATTTAAATTAACTTAAAAGCTTGTTTTATTAAACTATGGTGAGTTTGGTAATGACTAAGTGATATTTTCCATCTATCCATGTTCATAATCATGGTTCACAACTTTTACACCCATGGAATTAGTTAATAAACCTTAAAGGAATTGTTAGAAGAAAAATAATTACACATTTGTCATGCTTTTAGTATCCTAGCCATCTTCTCTTCTTTACATTATGTCATTCAGTTGTCAGTTTTTGAGTTGTCTTTTTTGTTATTATGTTTTGTTTAGATTGAGAATCCTCTTTTATATTTGTGTACCTTATTCATTTTCTTTTGAATTGTAGTGACTTAATAAGTGAATCATGCCAAAATAGTAAGTCAACTATCCAACCACCGAATGCCTATTTGTTCTTTTAGGATTTTTTCGATAAAGTTATGATGATTTTAGTAATATCAGAAAGCTTTTGATGATATTCTAAAATTTTGAACTTTAATGTATAGTCTGTCAATGAAATTTGAAATGTTTGACATATTGGCAATGTATCAGAAATATTAGGAAAAAAGATTCTTGGAAAATTTAGTATCACCCCTTAGCAAACTGGGGAGATTTCAGGGAAATTTCGCCAAGTCTCATTGATATTGCAAATCATTTCCATAATTACTTTATTGTTCAAATAATTAGGGCTGGAGATTAGAGCATTGTCAATAATGAATGTTTAAAGTGGCAAATAAAATTAATCAAAAGGATGGAGTTGTTCTTGCTAATCCAAAAAAAGGATAGGATTGTAATTTCAGAAAGTAATTGGCAAAAATATGTTAGTTTTAAAAATGATAAGCTGTTACAATTTTACTTTGATATCCGTATTTGCAGAGATTCCACAAAGACAATTTAGTAGTTAAGTTCATCATTATGCTAACAAGTCGGTCGAAAAATCTCATTGAAATACCCTAAGTCAATACTGAAATTGAATTAAACTATAAGAAGGAAAATAGAATCTCCTAAATTGGACATGGTTTCTCAAACATTTTCAGATCCCATTCCTTCATTTTGACATTACAAAAGAGTCTGCAGAGAAACAGTAAGACTTCTAAATGTTGTGGTCGTTGAACTTATATTATCTAATCTCAGCTATACAATCACATGATGGTCCTGACATCAAAACACTCCAATGAGATTGACAGCTAATCATGTGTTTTAAATGACAAAAGCATCCCACTTCAGAATAAGAGTTTAATAAAACACTCAAAGGATGAGAAATGATTGCTGATTAACCAGAAAGGGTTTAATCTTTACCAGATGGGATGCAGCAAAAAATATGCAAAGGTCTTGGAGTTACGGAATTAATTTTTGTTTAGTGTATCTGTTTCTTAGCAGTATGCTAAAGCTAATGGAACCTCTAAATTTCAGAAGGTCAATCCTGTGATAGTCTTTTTAATGTGTCAGTTGGGTACCTTGTTTATGACATCCCACCAAAAAATCCTTGCTTAGCTCAGTGATTTAAAAGGCGTGCCTCAGGTGCGCCTAGGCACTCAGGCGAGGCGCATTTTAGGGTAGGCGCCTTGCCCAGGTCCTAGGCGCAGCCCATTCAAAAGGCGTGCGCTTGGTGTGCCTTGCACCTTAGTCCAGGCGTGCGCCTTTTGAAAATTTGCCGCTTTTTCCCTTTTTTGAGTCTGGCCACTGGGCCGCCGTGCCACACCCCTCAAGGCCAGCCCAAACAAGTCCATGTTAGGGTCTTAAATTCTTAGATTTCACACAAAAAATAATAATAATAATTATTTTTTGTGTGAAATCTAAGAATTTAAGACCCTAACATGGACTTGTTTGGGCTTGCCTCGAGGGGCATGGCACAAGGGCGGCTCGTAGAATTAGGAATGTAATATATCACATTAGCTACTTGATGCAATTGAGAAAAAAAAAGAGATCGTGGGTTTTATATGCTTGAAAATGTTTTATATGTTTGATTTCATTTTTAAATTCTCATTTGAATATGCTTTACATATTATATTTATGTATTTTAATTTTAGATAATAGGTTTTTAAAACATTTATTTTAAAACTTAAAGTTAATATTTTTATTAATATTATGTTTTATAATTTTTTGATTTTTTTTTTGAATTTTTTGCATTTTTTTTAAATTGTGCGCCTTGCCTCAAAAAGGCGCACGCCTCAGGTGCAAAATGGCCCTTGCGCTTTTAAAACATTGGCTTAGCTAAACCATCTGCCAAGCCATTAGCTGACCTTCTTACCCAACTTACTAGAAACCAATATTGAGACATAATTACCATATTTTAGGATGTAGATGTGAATTTAGAGGTGTAAAATGGGCCGCGCTGCCCTCCCTTGGGATAACATGGGGGGCTGGCCTGACACGGTCCACGGCCCAAGCCCATGCGGGCTTGCACCGTGCGATGGGCCGGGCTGGTCTGTGGGCCAAGCCTTGGTCCAGGCCAGGCTGTGGATTGGGCCAAAGCTATTTATTTAAAAAATTTGAAAAAAAAACTTAAAATTTTAATTTTATATGAATTTTGATATATACAATAATTAAATAAATTAGTATAATAAAATTGAAAACAATTGTTTATTTTATTAATATATTATATACTATACATTATTATATAATTATAATTTATATAATATATAATATATTATATATAAAAATGTATAATATATAAATATATAAAATATATAAATAATATATATGGGCCGTGCTGGCCTGACCCGCGGACCTAAAACCCCAAGCCTAGCACGGCCCACACGATCGTGCTGGGCCTGGGACGACCCACAAGCTGTCGTGCTGAGTTGTGTCAGGCCGCGGGTGGCATAACCCGATTTACACCTCTAGATGTGATGCTTTGAGTGTAAACATTTTAACTATGTAGTTATTTTTTTGATAGTAACTGAAAAAAAATCTTTTTCATTTATAGGACTTGAAAGTCCAAGGTACAATTTTCATGTTAAGAACACTAGAATTTTAACCAATTGAGCTAATAGGCTTTTTGAAAGATTTCCATATTCTTATATATTAAAGTTTTTTTTTTTTTTACCCCTATACTAGCAGCAAGCTTGTGCTGAGCACAGGCAACATTTTGTTAGATATAGGGGAGATAAAATTAGTTCAGCGCACATTTACAAAAAATATTGTGAAAAATAAAGTGGAACAAACATTCCTGAATTAATAAAAAAATTCTAAAGTTAATTATTTTTATTTATCAAAAAAAATTGCTAAAGTTAACCAAAGCAGAAAATAATAAACTCAAAATTTTAAAAGAACAAATGAAGGCACAATTCACTATCTGAGACCATTTGCCATGGCTTGGCTATAACATGCAAAGCAGTATAGCAGTTCTGCCTCTCCTTTTTAGGAGACTGAGCATTGTGTTTGTTGTTTCTAGAGATCTAAAACAGCTAGAGTTGGGGGGGGGGG